AAGAGGAGGCCACAGCAAGGATACTAGGAGAGCGCACCCCAACTGTGATTACACAGGATTGGGCAAGTGAAATCTCAGCTGCCATATTGGTTTGCTATTCTGACAGGGCCTCAGTTTCCTTGTATGTAAAATGGGGGTCATAACCTCCCACTTCCAGAGGGCCGGAAGGAGCACTAAGCAGGATAGTGTCAGGCAGTGCATCAGTGAAAACTTGATGACCGGTTACCACTCTCAGGGGCCTGGGTAGCTTCCTGAAGGTACTGTAGTGAAGGACCACAAGCCAAGTGCCTCACGAGAACAGAAATTCATTCCCCCTCAATTCTGGAGGCCAGAAGTCTAAACCCAAGGTGCAGGCAGGACTGAGCTCCCCCTCAAGGCTCCAAGGTAGGATCTGTCCTGGCCTCTTCTGGCAGCTGGGGCTTCCAGGAGTTTCTTGGCTTGTGGCTGCATCACTCCAGTCTCTGCTCTGCCTTCCCAGGCCTCTTCCCTGTGTGTGTCTCCCTTCTTTTCTCACTAAGACACTAGGCAGTGGACTTGGGGGCCTTGCCTAATCAGGAGGCACTCCTCATCTTCAAATCTGGAACTCAATTACATCTGCAGAGACCCCTTTTCAAATAAGGTCTGGGGATTACAAAGAGGATACAGCTTTTAGGGGCACAATTCAGACCACTGTGGATAACTAATGATGAACCAGTTCACCAGTCTCTGATCACTCCTGGGGACTCCAGGAAATGGCAGCTTTTACTGTTTTGGGCAATGTGCCTTTTGACATTCAGTCTGAGGTGAGCTCAGCTCATCAGAGTGGCAGCAGTGCTAGGAGGACTTAAGGGTAGGGAGTGATTTATGGATGGGTATGGATGGGTGTGGATGGAGGGCTTGGGTTGGAGGCGGAACCATCAGTTAGTGGATCTTCTCTGTTTCCTGCCCCAAGTTGAGTTGGCCACTCTGCTACCACTTGCAGGCCTGCTTGGGTAGGCAGTTGCCACGCTAAGGTGCTCATTTGACACAGGCCTGACCATCACAATGTACTTCCCAGGCTGCAGAGTCTGCTTCTGAGCAGACCAGGAACCAAGATCAGTCCTGAGATTTGGCCCAGCTACTAAGGACAAGGTCTCTGAAGCAGCCTGAAGCCACTGGATGAGGTTTGGAGCTATGAGCAGCCTTGGTACAGATGCTTCCTGTAAACTCAGCCATCACTGGGAAAGCTGAGCTGACAGAGACAGAATCCCAACAGCATCACTGAGCCCCTGCTGCCTAGGACCTCTCCTCTGCACTTCACATGTCAAGAAATTCTGAACCTCGCCAGACACCAGTGGCTCATGCCTGTAATCCTAGCTACTCAGAAGGATCGTGGTTCGAAGCCAGCCTGGGGAAATAGATCGAGAGACCCTATCTCGAAATAAAATCCTTCACAAAAAAAAAAAAAAGGGTTGGTGAGTGGCTCAAGGTGAAGGCCCTCCATTCAAGCCCCAGTACTGAAAAAAAAGTTAAATTCTGAACCTTTATGATTTTGTGGAAGTTAGTTCGATCTGGGTTTCTATTACTTCAGCTGAAAGAGTATTGCAAATACACATAGTGTGCATACAATATTGCACCCTGCTTTTTCTCCCCCTACAAATTCCTGATTTAATAAGGGCTTGTTTATTTTGGGAAAAGAAGTCCCAAACATGGGGCTGTTTACAAAACTAACTCACAGTATCAACTTTAGAAAACAAATATTAAGACTGGTGCACGAATTGTTTCTTTTCTTTTTTTTTTTTTTTTTTACTAATTGTTTCTTGAAAGGATACATTTGACATGCCAACCTTCATTCACAAAAGTGCATTCTTACATTTGCACTGACAGCTCCACCAGTCCTCTGATGTGGGGTAAAGCCAGAATCACTAAATCAACACAGCTCTCTAGTGTTCTCAGGAAGCAACTGCTGAAATCATGTGAGTGGAAATAGCTGTGCTCCCTGCAGGACAAGACTATTTTGGAAACAGCTGACAAAAACCATACATCATTTTTATTGTAAAGTCATAAAAAAGTATCAAAGGGGGGTGTGGGGGGGCTCACGCCTGGGAGGTTGAGATCAAAAGGATTGCAGGTTAAGGCCAGCCTGGGGAAATACTTTCTAGAGCCAGACAGACCAGCGCTTGGCACCATAGGTTATTTAGGCAGACACAAAGTGGTCATCTGGCAGGGACCTCCCAATTGGCAGCATTGAGACAAGATTAAGTTCAGTTACACAGAATAGAAAACCTTAAATAACAGAAGCTTGAGTGCACATGGAATTGTCTTCTCTCACAAAGGAATTCTGGAGAAAAGTGATGGTCTGGTCTGGTGGCCGGTATGACATCTCCAACCATGGGACCTTCTAACCAGGTTCCTTCTAACTTTGTGCTCCATCCACAAGATTACCTCATGAGCCAGGAGCCTGTAGCTCACGTCTGTAATCCTAACTAGGAAGGAGGCAGAGATCAGGACAATTGAGGTTTAAAGCCAACCCTGGGGAAATAGTTTGTGAAACCCTATCTTGAAAAAACTCAACCCAGGGGGTGGGGGCAGGGGGGAGAAATGAACCAAGCCTTGTATGCACATATGAATAATAAAAGAAAAATAAAAAAAAAAAAAGAAAAAACTCAACCCAAAAAAGGGCTGGCTCAAGTGGTAGAGTACATGCCTAGGACGCGTGAGGCCTACTGACAAAAAAAATTTCTTTTTATCTCATGGACTGAGATGGCTACGGGCACTCCAGCCTTCACATTCCAGTTAGTAGGAGGCTTAAAGAGGAGATGAACCAAAAGTAATTCAGCTCTTTAAAGGATCTTTTCCAAAGTTCCATTCAGTGCTTTCTGCCCACTCATCATTGATGGTCTCATGTTCCTACTCATTTTTGATGGAGGCTGAGAACTGTATTCTTTTTCTTTTTTCTTTCTTTTTTTTTCCTTCGGTGCTGAGGCTTGAATTCAGAGCTTTGCGCTTGTTAAGCAGGCACTCTACCACTTGAGTCATATCCCCAGCCCTTTATGCTTTGGTTATTTTTGAGATAGAGTCTTGCTTTCTTCCCCGGGCTGGCTTGGACCACAATTCTTCTATTTAGAAGAATCCCAAGTATACCACTGGGATGACAAGCATGTGCCACCGCGCCCAGCTCTTTATTGGTTGAGATGGAGTCTTGAGAACTTTTTGCCTAGGCTTGCCTCAAACCTTGAGCCTCCCCATCTCTCCCTCCTGAGTAGCTTGGATTACAGGCGTGAGCCAATGTGCCTGAATGAGAACTATATTCTTTTAGATGAGCATGTAGCCACTCTGGATAAAACTGAGGCTCTGACAGGAAGGAAGGACTGGTGGGATGAACAGTTAGCAACCTCCTCCCTGACTCCTGCACAGAGGCAGATTGTACAAGGTGGTCCCTCCATTCCAACAGAGTTAGGTTCGCCCTGTGATCCCTGAAGTGGCAGAAGGGTGTCCATGGAGCAAGTAATGGAGAGAGTAAGTACTTACAAACATGGTGCCTGGGGAGGCAAGCCCACCTCAGAGGATCAGGACTGAAAGGCTGACTGAGGTGGAGTCAGTCACAGATATGTGAAGGGGGAAGAAATGCAGAGGCCTCTTGTTGAAAGAGTTGGAAGAGGGAGAAAGCCAGGGACGAGGGCAGTGTGGGAAGTGTTTCAGGGAGGCACTGTGACAGGGCTGCTGATGGTGTGACCCAGGGCTGGCACCAGCCAGTACCTACAAGTATGGTGGCATACTTATCAAGTATGGTGTCACTTATCATGGCAGGCCTCTGCTCCCATTGGCCGGATCCCTACCATGGCACTTTTTTTGAGGGGGGAGAAGGGTACTGGGATTTGAACTCTGGGCCTCACACTTGCCAGGCAGATGTTCTACCACTTGAGCCACTCTGCCAGGCCTGTTTTGTGTTGGATGTTTTTGAAATAGGGTCTTGGGAATGATTTGCCTGGGCTGGTTTGAACCACAGCCATCCTCTTGAGTTCTGCCTCCTGAGTAGCTAGGATTACAGGCTTGAGCCACCAGTGCCTAGCCACCATCTGCACTTTTAACATTTCTGCTGGGAATGAGAGTTCTGGAGAGCTTGAGGGCTGAAGCCACACAGGGATCAAATTCCAGAGTCAGCATGCATTCATATAACCTTGAATGAGTCACTTCTTTCCTCTGAGGCTGTTTTCCCAGGAGTGAAACGGGTATAAGAATGGATTGGTGTCTACCTAGAGACATGGGCTCACTGGCAAGGTCAGATGTTCAGCTTCTTCTGTTGCTCCCAAGGGGGAGTCACTAACCATTGGCTGATAAGCATGAGAGAGGCAGACATCATGGAATGGAAACTTCAACTCCAACCATCAATGCTGGGGCTCGAACCCAGGTCTAGTGCATGCTAGGTAAGCCCCCTAGCACTGAGCGTGAGAGGGTTTACCTGGACCCATGCTTTTCTCGGGCTCACTCGGTGTCTGCAGGTCTTTTGAAGTTCTCTGTCCTCCCAGCCCAGGTAAGCAGGGACAAGATGGAGATTGTCCTGTGTCATAAGGGCTCATTCCACAGGCAAGGATGGTGAGTGCCAGGAGCTGCTCAGACTCTGGCCTTTGCTTATTCCTACCCAGTGCTGCTGTCTCTTGTGTGGACAGAGAGCTGCTGGGAGGGATTCCTTATAAACACCTACCTGTTCTAATTAAATATCTGCATATTCTTCCCATTCCCCAAAGTCACAACATTACAACTCTTCTTGACCTATGGCTGCACCTGCACCTGCATACACATCTCCATTCTTTGCCAAAATACTTGTCTTTCTTTCCTATGTAGCTGCAAACTTGGCTACAAATCATCCCAGAGACTCAGCCCACTAAGGCAGTCACTCCGGAGCTCAAGGATCCTGGCTCTACATGTGCCTGTGACATCGCCAGCTGCCCATAACCCCCTGTGACCTCACCACCTGGACAACTCAACCCATCACAACCTTGGCCACTCCTTCCAACCATCACAAGTGGCAGGGGGCATAGATGATCACTGTGCCCTCAGGAGAGGCCACAGCCACCAATGACCCTCTAGATGGCCCTCTTAACACCTCACTGGACAATGAGGCTGACAACAGCTATGCAAACAGTTCAACAGGAGGGTCCCAAAGCCCAGGTCCTCTCCCTGCTGATGTCCCAGAGGTGAGTGGCACTGCACAGTCCACTCCACAGCAGGATGTAGAACAGGCCTCCTTTGACACAGCCATGTCCAAGGCCAAGTCAACCTCTGAGAACACAAACCAGCCAGAAGTTGCTCCAGGCCGTAGTCAGAACAGCCCTGAAGAGATCACACCTGTGCCATCCGAACGCCGGAGCACCCTGCAAGTGTTTGTGGGTTTCCAGAATCCTGTATGGGACAGACTGGCTGAAAATACAAGGAAAACTCAGAACCGCAATGCTTCCCCAAGAGACTCCCAGAGTGGAGAACGGACACCACAAAAGTCAACTGTTCCCAAAAGGGAGGTGGAATCAGTCCCCTCTGCCCCAACTACTGAGGCCCAATCTGCCCAACACACAGAGGTGGAGCCCTCTGCAGATGCTGCTGAACTGTCCACTGCAGACGCCAATGGTGAGCTTGACCTTCAGCCCACCAATGTCCCCAAGGCTGATGAGGAGAAAGCTCAGGATCCAAAGATCTTGAATCCTGACACTGAAGCTGGGTCCCAGATAGTGACAGGGGAGAATTCAGTGGACTGCTCCAGAAACCTGCAGGGTTGGGTTTTCCCTCGTTCCCCAGCAGTCAGTGCCCCACCCTCACTGGTCCCTGACCGGGTGGATGCCAGCCTGTATGGGGATGTCCAGGAAAACAACTACATGCGTTCCATGACCAGCCTGCTGGGTGGAGGCGAGAGCTCCATCAGCTCGCTGGCAGACATCCTGGTGTGGTCTGACACCACCATGGGGATGGGGATGGCGACAGCACTCCTGGCCTCCAACCACAGCTCCCCGACAGACCTGCTATATAGCACAGGGCCCAGCCTGCGCTCGGTCTCCAACATCCTGGGCAGTGCTGGCTCAGCTTTCTCCTCTGGGGTGGTGTCGGGGACCCGCTCAACCCTGCAATCCATCAACCATGTGCTGGAGTCATTTGAGAGGAGGACTGCGGAGGGTATGCGTTCAGCTGTGCGTTACCTGATCAGTCACCTCACCCACCGCTGGACCCAGGCCGGCCCCCACTGATTAGACCCCAAGGGACTGGCTCAGCAGCTTCTGAAGACCCAAGGTCCTCCTCCATTGCCAGCTCTTCCCCAGCCCAGGCCTGGGAGGCCCCCTGCCAATTAGTAAATCACCAAAATCGTTTATTTTCTAAGTGCTGCCCCATCCCTTGTCGGTGCAATGGGCAACATGGTGAAAGGACAAGAGGGCCCCAAGGATGTCCTAAAAACAGAATGTCCCTGGGACTTCTTTGGTTTTTCCCCATCCTGGGGCTGACAGCTGTGGGCAAATGCACCCAGAGATGGGGGCAGGGGATGGGGGTCTCAGACCTGCAAAAGCCAGCTGTACCTCCACCAGGTAAGTTTCTGAGGAATGGAGCCCAGGGACAAGGCAAGCCCAGGCATCCCAGCTTTGTTCTGAGAGCCAGTAAATAATGCTGGGGTAGAAGAAGCCTGCACTTGACCTGGGCAACCACCTCCCTCCGTAGCCTCCCTCTCCTCAGCCTCAATGTAGAGACAGGAGCTCCCCATCACGAAGATGCTAGGAAACATGGAGAAGCAATGCAGGCTGGAGTGCCCCTTGATGCTTCATAAGCTCTCACACTCCAGCTGTCATTGTTATAGTCCCCCAGTGGGCTGAGGACTCGGTGCAATGAAGGTCTAGGCAGGGTGACCACCTGTCCTGCTTGGCCTCAGACTAAGGGAGTTCTAGGGATGTGAGGCTTTCATATTTAAAACTGGCAAACCAGGATAGCTCCCTTAGGCCCAGGTCTCTTTCCATGGTCTTTATTCTGATCTGTGACACATGAATCTTGGAAGGACTCCAGGGTAGGTCCAGGGCAGGTCCAGGGCCATCTGAGCTGGAATGCCAGCCACCCTCTGGCTAGACCCAATGCTGTAGCCAGGAGTGTAAGCTGGTAAGTGAAGCCCCCAGTCCGCTCTCCAGCACAGACACATATCCTCATGCGGCAGCTAAGCAGGGGTCTGACCATCCATCCACTCCTCCTGCTCCCCAGAGTCTCCAAATGGGGGTCCTGGGCTGAAACCAGCCGACCAATGTATTTATTTGACTTATACAGTGTTTCTCAAAGTTTGAATTAATCGCTAACATTTTTTTTTTTTTGAAACAGGGTCTCACTACGTAGCCCAGACTGGCCTCCACCTTATAATCCTACTGCCTGAGCCTCTTGAATGCCAGGATTATAGGTGGGAACTACCATGCCTGGCTATAATTGCTAACATTTTAAAAACAGGAGATTTAGCCAGGTGCCAGGGGCTCCTGCCTGTAATCCTAGCTACTCAGGAGGCAGAGATCAGGAGGATCACTGTTGGAAGCCAGCCCCAGGCAATTAATTCGGGGAGACCCTAGCTCGAAAATACCTAACATAAAAAAGGGCTGGTGGAGTGATTCAAGGTGCAGGCCCTGAGTTTAAGCCCCAGTACCACAAAAAAAAAAAAAAAAAAAAAGCAAGTAGTTTTTGAATACCCACCATAAACCAGGCCCTGCTACTCACCAAAACTACAGTGCCCAGGTGCAGCCATGGCTGGACTCAAGGCTTAACCTCTTCCTCAGGGCCTCTGGCTTCCCTCTCCTGGCTTCCTTCACACTCAGCTGGCTCCACCCCTTCTAGAAAAGGGGAGAACCTATTCCTGCTGGGAAGACACTGACATCCGACTTGGTGTTTGTACCCTGCCTTGGACCCATCACATACCCCAGGATTGAAAAACCTGTCTCCTGGCCTGAGCCACAGTTAGCCCAGAACTGGGGACTCTCCACAGGATTAGCAGCTGGATTAATAGCCAGGAGAGTAGCAAAAGGAAAAGAGACATTGCAGGTGACCAGTTGTATTGAGGGCCCATGAAAGTGACAGTCATGATGCTCTGCTGGTTTGAACTTGGCAGTCACTACCAGATGGTGGATCTCTAGGAGGCCTGTCTTGCCTTGAATTAGGCAGGGACAAGCTCCTAGTTCCTTAGAGACTGTGGCAGACACACCCTATTGGATGCTTTGGGCCCCTGGGCCCCCACCATTGGCTGATTAAGTCTGCTGCCTTGCAGGCCAGCCAATCCAATGTCAACTGCAGGACTTTCCCCTCCTGCTGCTCTGTTCTTTGCTGAGGGGTAAACAGTTTTGTTGGCAAACCCTCTGGCAACATATCCTCTCCAAGAGTGGGACCCCCAGGCATTCAAGTGCTGGCTTACCTGGGGAGAAGGATGGGGGCTGCACCTTAGGGGCTGGGGAGTCCAACACAGACAGAAATGGATACACCTTAGTTCAGGATAAGATGGCCAAGGACGTAAATGACAGAGTGAAAAGGAAAAACCCCAAAACAAGAGTTTGGGGAACAACCTCACCCATCAGGCAAGAGAAGAGGGAGGATCTCCTAAGACACAGGAGTAGTCAGCAAGTGGGAGTGATCCAGCCCATTATGGGAACCTGGGCTTCAAGGTGTCCCAGAATACACCTCTCTAGCAGAGGGATTCTTTTGAGCTGAAGGCAACAGAGAAAAAGCAGACTTAAGGACAAGCTTTCAACCCTCCCTTTTCTTTTTTTCTGGCAGTACTGGGGCTTGAACTCAGGGCATACACCTTCAGCCACTCCACCAGCCCTTTTTTGTGACGGTTTTTTTTCAAGATAGGGTCTTGTGAACTAGTTTCCTGGGCTGGCTTTGAACTGCAGTCCTCCTGATCTCTGCTTCCTGAGTAGCTAGGATTATAGACATGAGCCACCAGTGCCTAGCAACCCTCCCTTTTCTACCTGAACAGCAGGCTATAAATTCCCCTTGTGAAGGTCCCCCACCCCAGGAAGGGGAAGGAGACAGACTGCGATGGCAGATGGCACTAAGAGGAATCTACATAAACAAGCTTTACTAATTACCCCTTACCTACTAGTAGGGTCCCCATATACTTGCCTGTTCATGGTGTACCACACAAAAAGCCAGAAGTTCCTTCTTTTGTCTTCTCACTTCTCTGCAGATTTATTGTCTTTTGTTAGAATGGTATAAAAGCTGTCATGCTTAGCCACTTCTTTGGGGAGATTTTCTTTTCTTTCTATGAAGCCTCCTTATAACATGTAAGACTGTTGTAGTTGGTTTGTTTGTTCCTGAAACGGTCTATATGTGTAGCCCAGGCTGCCGTCTTTACTCACAATCCTCCTGCCTCCACATCCCAAGTGCTGGAATTACAGACATGCACCACCATGCCCAACTTATCTGGTAAAACTTTTAAACTGAAATAAAATGTATGTGCCATTTCTCCTGTTTGTCTCTCTTTTGTCAGTTTAGTTCACAGTCCCAGCCACTGAGCCTAAGAGGGTATGTTTTTTCTCCTCTCTACAAAGTCTCCACATAGTCCAATGATGAAAAAGTGAGTAAGAGGGAACACTTTTGGAGAGGTGTGTTAATATGGACAGAAGGGATATGAATGAGCAGCCGTGAGAATAGCTGGCTTTATGGAGGGTACTCTCAGGTGTTGAGAATTGAGGCAGGATAAAGTTATAAGTTCACTCCTACAAAGCCTGGCACCTCAAAAAATCAGGGAGCCAACTGCTCAGCCCCCTCTCATTTACATGTTAGAAGTCAATTCAGGCAGCATTTCTCTAGAATGGATTTTTGGATTGTGCTTTGCTGGGACAGACTGGCTGGTAAATAGAAGTCATTTAGGCTAGGCCAAGAGTCAGCTAGACGGGACCAGTGTCTACCATCAGAGCCTGGCTGAGGCTTGATTAGGGGAAACACTGATGAGTCCTGGCTCACATCAGAGGGGACACCAGCCCAGGGTGTGCTGGACACTGTTGGGCTGCCCCATTCCCCTTTAATGAAGGACTTGTTCCCCCAGCTTCTGGGAGTACTGGACAACCTGCTGCAGCCACCCCTGCAGAGAGCCACCCACCCAAGGTCATGCTGCCTTTTGAGGATGGCTGGGGCTGGTTGGGGTGGCCCACAGGTTTCCATGGGCTGGCACCACAGCCTTACCTCCCCCTGCCCATCAAGCTGCATTCTCCTTCCCGCTTCAAGTCAGGGCATGGTCCCCAGTAAACATCCTGTTTACTACATCTTGACTCAGCACCTATACTGTGGGAAATCCAAGCTGTAACCATGGCTGCTAATCTGATGTGTGTGTCCCACAAATTCCCAGGCATGGTGGCGTACCTCTGTAACCTTAGCACTCAGGAGGCTGAGGCAGGAAGGTTGTATCTCTTTTTTTGTAAGAAAAGTTAGAAATTTGGGACCACTGTAAGACCAGTTAAAACAACAGCAACGCAACCCTGAATCTTTTCCGGGGTTTTTGCTTGCTTTGGAAGGACAGGATTTGCATTCAATCCGTGGCCGCATGGCTAACTGGTTAGAACCACCGTAAAGCTGTAGTGCAGGTTCTCGGTTTGGCTGGGGAAGGTGCAGACTCTAGCAAGGAAAAGTGTCTCTCCGAAACATAAATGCAGTCTCCCAAGGAGCGTGTCATAAAAAGTAAAGGTAAACAAAGTCTTGAGTGCATGTTTAAACATTTAAATGAAAGACAGGACCTCCCTGGGCTAAGAAGTAGCTCTACTTCTCAGGCTCCCAGTCTGTAAGAACGCAGACCGCGCCCTCTGCTGGACAAAAGGCACCACTGCCTGGCACCAAGAGAGCCAAGATTAAGCCGCCAGGACACACTCTTGGAGATTTGATGGACACCTGTGAGAGAAGTGGGGGTTCAGAGGATAACGTGAGATACACAGTTGTCTTATTTCGGCTGGAAATGCATCCGTAGGAAGCTTTTCAGAACAAGGAAGACTGAGGGGGACACTCTCCAACTGAAGTCTTCATGACCAGAGCTGAACAATATAGCACAATGCTACATCAGTGCTCAGAAACCCAGACCACCGAAGAGCCAGTGTCCTTCAGGCAGAGCCGAGCCACAGCCAAGGTGTGCAGGGTGGGGCCTGGCAGAGCAGGGAGGGCGTTCTGGACTTGCAGCTGGAGGCAATCTGCCCCACCTGTGGAGTGCTGCAGGCGTGGACTCTGTGGTTCTAGATGGCCTCAATGT